TACACCTGGGCAGATGGATTCTCCTTTGCTTTCTATAAAAGAACTTGGCATATTACGGGTCCCCTCATTTGTAAGGCAGTTATGGAATTCTACTCTTCTGGTTACTTACCTAGAAGTGTTAAAGCCACAGCTTTGGTTTTAATTCCTAAAGGAGCTCATGTTTCTACTATCTCTGATTTCAGACCTATCTCCTTGTGTAATGTTTTGTACAAAATTTTGGCGAAGCTTGTTGCTAATAGATTAAAAGATGTTCTTCCGATCATTATTCATGAAAGTCAATCAGGTTTCATCAAGGATCGTTGCTCCACGGATAATATCCTCTTAGCATATGAAATTCTAAAAGGCTTTAACAACTCTTTTTGTGCTAAGTTGGATATTCTCAAAGATGTTTTTGTAAAGTTCAACACGGTTTGACACATAAAAGGTTTTCAGGATAATTCGAACCGACCTTATGGCTGGTTCATGATTGAATTGGTTGAACTGGTCAATTTTGTCCGGTTTTAAAACCTTTCATGTAATAAGCTCTAGGGCACTGAGAAGGTGGCTCGAGCTCGACTTGATAAATAGCTCGTGAGTGGAGCTCGATGAGCTAACGAGTCCAGTTTGAGCAAGTTCTGACTCGACTACTTAACTCGTGAGCTGACTTATTAAAAAATATTAATATAATATTCTCTTCAATATATAATAGGGTTCATGATTTTAACTTCAAAGTTTTTTAAAATGTTAAAAAATTTATAAGCTCTATATTGACGAAGAATTATCAAATAAATGAAATAAAATAATTCAAGGATATAGCTTTGAAGTGTTAGCAGTCGTCATTTGGTGGTTTTTGACAATTGGATTCCAAAACGTTAACTTTTCTCTCGTAGATATTGGGGATGTCAATTGCTTGATTGTTCAAAAAAATCGGGCAAGCTGATTTGTTTATGGAGTTTTTAAGCTTAGTGCCTTTGGTCTCTATTGCTCTCACTATATTATTTTGTTATTTGAATTAATAAATTATAAAATTAAATTAATTTAAAAATATCATTTGTTGCATCCTGGAATATTCGCGGCGATAGAGAAATATATAGTTTAACGTCTTAGAGTAGTATGAAGATGCAACACACAAGCAGATGAAAGAGATAGCGTAGCATTAATAAGAGACACTGTAGGTTTTACATAAAAACCCCTGAAAAGGGGGAAAAACACGAGCACTAACCCAATTTGAATGAATCAACTAGTATTTATAATAGATTACAAATGAGACCATTTATTGGGAGAAGCCTTTGGCTTAATGGTCGGAAGGATCATAGTCAACAGAAGACTGGGGTCAGAAAAACCGTTGTTTAGCGATGGAGGTCCGAAGGACCATAGTAGGCGACAGAGGTCGGAAGGACCATGGTCGGCAGGAGACAGGTGTAAGAAATACCGTTGTCTAGCAGTGGAGGTCGGAAGGACTGTAGTATGTGACAGAGGTCGGAAGGTCCGTAGTTGGCATGAGATAGGGGCCAGAAATACCGTTGTCGTAAGACAATGGTTCGGCGGGAGTCCGGGCTTAAAGTGATGGTCCGGTGGAACTCCAGGCATTAGGTCGTTTGCTAGCCATCTGAGGGTCTTAATGATGTTGGAATTTTGTGATCTTGGGTTTGTTGGATTTGCCTCGTCGATTTGCTCGATTCGACTATAAGCACGTCACATTTGAAAATCATTTGGTAATCCAAATTATGATTCGAACCTTCCAACAGTGCTTCAAACCCTTGATTTAGACTTATTTGGTGTCGTTGGTTTGTATTTTCGAGACATTTAGTTTGACTATAAATTTACTGAAATCGAAGTTCAGATGGTTCCAATTTTAATTTTGAAAGTTTCCAAGTTTATTTTGCCTCGGGATTCGTGCCCAATCACGAAATATATATATTTTTTTATGTATCAATCTTATTATCATTTTTCGTTATCTTAAGTCAACTTTTAGGTAGCTTTCAATAAATATTTAAGAATCATTACCCTATGCTTGTCGGCATAATTCGGTTAATCAATTACATGCTACAACCAGGATCACATCATAAAATTTTTATTTAAAGAAAAATTTGTCGGCCTACCCACTTGTGCAAGGTATTATCTTTTAAGATCCAACCCATATTAATTATAATATTAACTATCAACCTTCCTTGCTTATAAATGCCACATTTATCATATATCAATCACATCATTTTTCTAAGCAAGCCAATATCATGTATGAAATATAATGTAATATAGTAAAAATTATAAAATTCAAACACTATGCATTTACTTAAAAAAAACATACATTCTAACTTACTTAGTGAAATTCAATTATATTATAGTCAAAATGCTCGAGAGGATCAAATCTATTATATACAAAAAGGTCCATGATAGAAGTTTGATAAATTGAGAGAAAATATATTTTTGAATGATTCGAGAGTGATAAAATCCTTAGAAATTAAAATCATCAATACAAAAATAAGAATATAATCACTTACTTGAAATAGAACAAAATCTGTAATATTAGCAATGAACTAAAAGGCCTCAAAGAATATTCTCTCTCCTCCTCTTCCTCTCCCCTTCTTTTTTTCCTTTCCTTCCCATCCAAGCAATAAGAGTTGGGAGGGAAAGGGTGGCGGTGAGAGATATTTATCGGAGAATATATTAAAATTTTATTTTATAGTTTTTGGAATCGCGATGCTCTAACCCGGCATCGTTGCGCTATATGCTAAATACATAAGGCTTTAACACCACAATGGCGATTCCTAGCATTGATGCACTCATAAGCACAATGCTGCTATGCTCATAAGCACAATACCACATCACTCTAGTTTAGTCAAAATTCAATATTTTATTTTTAAAATCATTTTCATAATTATCAAGTTGTTCTAATAGCGAGGTATTAGGTTTATAAATATCAAAATCAATTTGTGAAAATTCATTTATTATTTTTAGGTCACTAGCTAGAGAGAGGGAGATAATTCTAGAGAGGGAAATTTGGATTTGAAGGTAATTTAGCCAATTTTGTATGATGGGTCAGTTGAAAAAATTGCTCATCTCAAGATAGGTTATCCATAAAATTTAATTTCATCACTTTTGTGGATGTTTTTGGTATTTTATTTAATTTAGGTTTATATAAACACAAACTTATGAAGACTTAAAGAAGTTTTCGCTATGTAACTTTTGATATATGATATAATATAATATTTTGATCACGTTGATAGAAAATATATAAATTTTCATTAGGTATTTAGTGTTACACACTTGTTTAAGTATTTTTGTGAGCATGTTATTGAAATTACTATATAGTAATAAATACTTTAAAATAATGCTATGGACTTTGTTCATGGATTATTTTCTTATTTTTAGAGTTGGATGTGCATACAAGTTACCAATCCATACTATTATTTTTAGGGAAATTTACATACATACCACTTTATAACATCCTATTTACATATCTAACACCTAAAACTTTAATATTACATACATACCACCCTATATGATTTTAATATCAAATATGCCACTCATACTTCCTTCCTAACACTCATATATTTCATTTCTACCACTCATATTTGATATAAAAATGAACTATGGGTGATATATATGTAATATTAAAGTTTTAGGTGTTAAATATGTAAATAGAATAGTATATAGTGGTATGTATGTAAATCTCTCTTATTTTTATTATACTTGTAAAATTTCATATATTTCAGTATCATGTTAACATATTGTTATCTATATAAGTTATTTTAGGGAAGGACAAGACCCTAGTTGATTAAAGAAAGTTGGTAAGGATTTGAAGTTCATGTTGTGTGTATGTTTGTGTATTTAAGTGTATTTTTTGGCAATCAATTTAATATATGCATGTTGGCCTCATGTGAAAAAATTGTACTTGACTTGTTGTTCATTATTAGTTTGATATGACTAAGTGAATTAAATGAAAATATTTATACTTGATTTATAGCTAGATTTCTTGGAAATAAAGTATTTTGTTAGTTGGGAGTTTTTAGTATGCACGTTATTAGGGGGAATTATTACGTCAGGTGTCCGGATTCGTCCGGACACCAATTCAGATACACCATGTCATCAAATACATCGGGACCCAGCGTATTCGGGTGACGTGGCGCGTTTGGATTGGGTGTACGGATATCCGGTGACCGAGCGTAATAATTCGCCCATTATTAGGGGTGAATCTATTATGAATCTTCATATAAAATAAATAAAAACAAAGAAAAATATAATATAACTAGATAATTTTAATTTTCCCAAACTCCAAGAAGAAGAGAGATAGGGAGAATGAGAACATGACTGAGAACTTTCATTAATTCATGTATGCATATCCCTTAATTTCTCCTTCATAAAAATATTTATATTATTAGTCACAAATTCATTATTAACTAACTTTTAACTAATTATCTACTATTAGTAACCTTTTAAAAATTAATTATCTCACATCTCCATTGTATTATTGTATTCAGAAGAGTAATTTTGCTTTAGATCATGTAGCTCATAGGTAGATGTTGCCCTTTCTAGGGCATGAATTTGTTTCAGGGAGGCAACACCCTTATTGATTGGGTTATAATTTTTTTTACAGTAAGAGCGAATGGATGAATTGGCCCCCTCGTCTTGGAGAGATTATTGGGTTTGGACATCGGACACAACTTACGCTCGGTATTCATAGTACTGAGCAGTACCGAGCAATACTGAGCCGGGTGCTGAGTAGTACCAAGCTCGGTACTGCTCATTATCGAGCTCAGTACCGAGTAGGAGGTAATGTGGCGCATTTTCATTGGGCTCCGAACACGCCCGATAACCAGACCTAATAATTTGCCCGGATCTTGGAGGAGGCTAATTGAGATGCATCCGAATGCCGATTCAGATGAGTCATATCATCCAATACATTTGTCAGAATTTACCTCCCGTTCAATCTGACCTCATATAATAATTTTTACTGGCGGTGATGATTGGATTTAAGTAAAATCTTGCCTAAATCCTGCGTAACGAATTGGTCATCCGACAGTCTCACTTGAGCCTCATCAAACCAAACGGATAAAGTTGCCATCCAGACCAAGAGGCCCAAGACCTCCGGAGCTGGACGCTTTTGCTTCAACCTCCAAGCCGGCACATGGCCGTCCTCGGCGGCGCATTCGCTGGCTCCTTTGCCGCCACCGGCTTTAGAACCCAGTCGATGAAACCACCATTCAGATTAGGGATTTCTTGCATCGGATGGGTAGCGCTTTCTGTTTTCTCCACCATTTCCTTTTCCTATTAGTGAGATTATCTTCATATCTTTTGATGCTTCACCTACAGGATCCGGAGGGTGTCCTCGGTCCGCCTCAGGGCGGCCACATAGCGCGGCTGGAGTTCCGGCGGCGACTGGAGAAGGACGCCAAGGCGAGAGAAGAGTTCAGTCATATGGTGCGAGAGGAGAAGGAGCGTCATCGAGCTCGCCGAGAGGTGTGTCCCTTTCCGTCGTTTTAGTTACCTTAATGCGAGCAATTGTTCTTACATTGGCGCCTTTTTCAGGCGCGGGTGCCACCGGAAACCAACGAAGGGCTCGTGGAGTACCTTCTTGACACTGAAGCCAGGGAAATTGAATTCGAAATTGCGAGGTTGAGGCAGCGGTGAGTTTTTTTATTTGCTTAATTGCGACCTTAATTGATATGTTATGAGTTTTGGAACCGAAGTGGAGTTCCTTTTGCACGGTGAACTGCATTGAACTGATTGTGGTGCAAACATATGTTGATGGTGCAGATTAACCAAAGATTTTTTTGAACACATACAGATTGAGCTTGCAAACCTGCGGTTTGCAGTTGTTAAAACTAAGGTCTATGTTCAAAGAAAGATGGCTTTCATAGCTATTAAGTCATAATAAGCTAAGGTCCAGTTCTGAGTTTCGTAGTTTTGTATTTGCAGGAAATGGAGGATAGGGTAATAGAGTTGGAGGCCATACAGAAGGTTTTGCTCGAAGGAACAGGTTTGCTGGAATGCCACGTCCTTTCATATTTTGAATGATACAAAATCTTTGATTTTCTCCCTTGTAGAAGCCTACGATAAAATGGAAGGGGACCTGGTGTTAGCAAAGGAAAGGCTTATGAAAATATTGCAGTCAAAAGATAGGAATTCAACTGTAAGTACCTCAAAAGTTCCTGGCAACTGAAGTCTTCCTAATATTATTGAGAAATTTTCTTTCTTCACTTGCTTTGACTTATCAATATTTTGTTTACATTTAGTTACTGGAAATGGTTGAGCGGAATGAGTTGAGTAGGTCTGTGTTGGCTCTTCTTGATGAGAACATTGCTGGTGCCTTGAAAAAGGATCAGGTTAGTTTTACTTTTTACAGAGGATGTGAAGCAACCTAGCATATTTTTCCCAAAATCGTATTTCAGTTATATTTTAGAAGTCCCAATTTGATTCTTAACATATGCCCTATTTTAACAGTACGTTCATCAGCCTATTGCGACGCTATTGTAAAATATATAATTTCCTACATTTGCTAATTTTTTCACAAAAGTGCCTGCAATAAATTCAATTGCATTTTTGAAACATTTTATTACAAAAGTGCCTGCTCAATAAGATATCTTGCAAACAGATTCATTCATAGATCTATAACAAAAAATAATAATCATAAATTGTAAAGGAAGAAGGAAACCGACAACAACAGTAAAAAATGTGAAAGATGAACAAAAACACAACAAGAAATATGCGGTTCGACATTTTTGGAGCTTACCTCCACAAGGAGAAATTGGGATTTAGGTTTACTGAATCGAACATTCACCCCCGCTACAAGATTTTAAAGCACTTTCATCTTTGTTCTTTATCACATCTACTTTGCATCATCAATGCTTGGCACCTTTTTTGGATCCGGCCCAAGCTACATGAATGCCCCTTCAGCCCTCAATTCTCTGTTTCGAATGGAGGAAGAATAAAATGAAAAGCAACGCAATTCTTCTCTCAGTTTCCCTTCTGATCTTAAATTGAGCAGAGAAGAAGAATTTCGAAAAAGTCAGCCCAACACCCGATTTTCATTCAAAAACCCGTCGCTCATCGATAGCTTCCCTCTTGATCTCTCTTCCTCTCTTAAAAAAAAAAGATCAAGAAAACCCTCTTGTAACTCCAAACTCATCGATCAGCTTCCAATCTTCCAACCCAATGAAAAGAGTTCTCCAAGCTGTCCTCTACCTTTTCACTTTTGTTTTTTGGCCCCTTTTGTGTCTCTTGGTTCCTTGCACATGTAGAAATTAAATATCAAGAAAAAAAAAGGGGCAAGACGAAAACAAGAATGCAAAACTCACTATATAACTGGCAATATAAAATGAGTGCTGAAAAAGAAACAGGAAAAAGACTTACACTAGATCCAAACATAATAACAATATCCAATTTGGATCTTATGTTCCTCAATCTCCTAAATGCTTTCTCAATCAGGAGGGTCTCTCAATTTGAAGGAAAGTCAAGTTGGGCTGGAATTTGGTTTTAGAAACTACCGTAGTTAGCATATATGCAGCTTTTTCATCAATTTGAACCTTTTGAACTTCATTGTTCTTTGAGCAAGTATATCTCCAATAAATTGTAATCTTATGTTAGTTTTGTTTTGTTCCTTTGTTTAATACTTTGACAACCAAACCAATGAGAGGAGTCTTTTTAGGTTTTGAGATAGTCCTCCTTCCGGATTGACGTCGACTATCTGTATCTAGCGCCTTGATTCTGAAGCATACTCCATCTTTGAAGTGAATGGAGAGAGCAGTGCTTCCCGTTCTTTTAGCAAGACTTCTATAAGAACATCTTTCTTAGACCGGAGAAGGGCTTGGTCTAAGTACTTGTCAAATGCTATTCATCACATTAGTTACAGTTTTTATTATTTTATTCTCAAACTCTTCCGATAATACTTTCATCCTCATATTTTTCTTTAAAGCCTTGATAGAAACCATTTTTAATGCATTTGTGGTTTATAAAGTAACAATATCTTAAAGATTTGCTTTCCATCTCACAATGATCATATATATATATATATTGAGAAAATATAACTAGTCAATAATCTCCTTTTGTTAGAACTAGAATGAGGAAGAAGAACTTGTTCTTCTTGATCTTGAATGAGAGAAAGAGAGAGGGAGAGATATATAATTTGGAGGGAATACAACTAAAGCTTTAGTTTTATTTCCTCCAAATTATGTGAATTCCCTCTCCTCCCCTCACCTCTCTCTATTGCAAGAAGAGCTCAATATGAGCTCTCAAGAATCTTTCTCTAGTCCTAACAAATGGTATCTAGATCCCAAACATAATTTCAGATCACAAACTCACAATTTTTTTTTACTTCAATTTTATTTTCTATAATTCACACCAACATCAACGGACATATTTAAGTATTTGAACGTCCAATTAACAATCCTCCAATGATCTTACTCAATATTAGCTATGAATCTATATATCATATTTGTTACATGTACACTATCAGGTTTAGTACAAATCATAGAGTGAATAAAACTAACCGTTATACCAGAATATGGTATTTTATCCATATATTTTTGTTCTTTCATAGTTGATGGTTACAAAACTTTAATCCTCAATTGAAATCTGAAAGGAGATGAAATTGATTTAATTGTGTCAATTTCAAACTTATTTAGAACTTTCCTCCAATTTATCATATTCTTAATCCTAGTGAGTTTACAAGCCACCTTATTCTTTATTATAATTTTCCCACCACTGAATTTATTCTATGAATCAAACTAGTACCTATTGAGAGTCATGTGTAATGTACAACTAAAATCCATTATCTAACCTTCATTCTTAAAATATGTAGTAACGGTCAAAACTTCATAATCTTTATACTCCTCCGACACAATTAAAACGTCACTAAACTCATGTCCTTTCTCTTTTATATATCTATGATGACAATTTCTTTTGAAAACCCCTTATGCAGTAAAAACACTTGAGTTTGTTCTTTGATTTGGACTTAGAACTGTAGGTTCTCTTAACCTTTTCTATTTTCTTCCACCCCTCCCCCCAAACATTTAAACTTCAAGTAACTTTAGATTCTCTTTTTATTTAAATTTGTATCTCCTTAGTCTTTAAAACTAGCTGAACCTCCTCTAATGATAATGTTTTTCAAGCATATTTTATAGTTACAACAAAAATGTTTATGTAACTTTAGGCAATGAATTATGTATACAATTATAGTTTGATCTCACTGTTCACCTTTATACCAAGTTTTTCTAAATCTATAATAATTTTATTAAAATAATTCATATTATCCTCTATACCTTTTCCATATTATATCTAAAACCAAACGTTTGACATTTATTGTGAATCCTATTTTACAAATTTTTTGTCATTTTCATATTCTCAGCAGTTATTTCTTTATATACCTTATGAAGAACCTTGTCCTCAAAACAATACAAACGTATTATACGCCAGCTTTATAATTTTGGTCTGTGCATCCACATCCAAAGAACTTGGCAAGTCTTTTTGCTCCTTCCAAGACTTCTGCAACTGTCGCCTGAACTCGAGTGACCTTCATACATTTTTACCAAATAAAAAAAAAAACGATCTTATCATCCAACCTGTTAATGTTGACCTTCAAAACCGCCATTCTAGATGAACACCTTGTCTTTCATACCAATTTTTAAGGATCTTAATATAAACACAACCCTCCTTTATGTTTAAATCAAATAACAATGAAAACTATCCAACCACAGACAGACATAGTTCTAAAACTGAGCTAGTATTTAAACAGTGCTACACGAAATTCAAAAAATTGAACTCATAACACAATTCCTACCATGTGATTTTATATCCAAGATTGCTTCCAAACAAATTGATCCACAATTACGTAAGAAAAAACAATAACTTCAAACTGTAAGGTTGAAAGAAAATGACAAGAACACTTGTTGAGAACAAGAACGCTATAAGAAATGTTTAGTTCAATGCAGTCGGTGTGATAGGAAACACTTATAGATCTCAAGTATTTCCTATTAATCTTCAGAAAACAACAAAAATTCTCCACAAAAATCCAGACAAAATCACAAAAACAGTAGATAATTTGTATTATTTGAAAAAAGGGAAACGGAAAATACCAAGATACAATTGATCCTCTATTCGAGAGGAGGATCTATCTCTCCCAAATCTCTAGACACTGCTAGAGCCCGAAATCTAAACCTAAGAGATATCAAATTTTAGCCAAATTCAAGATGCCCTAACCCTAGGAAAACAAACTATTTAATGCATACAATTCAAAAGAAAATCTCTAAACAATCGCTACATTCAATTTCCCTCTTAAACTTCCTCAAAAATCCTTCCTAATCAGTTTTTCTGGATTTCGCGGCTTGAACGACGCATACATGAGGCGGACTCCTCCGCCTACAGGACCGGCTGGATTGGTCTAACACGGAGCTTACATTCACGGGGATAATTTGGGACGTAGCTTTATTGAATAGAATATCCAACATGGTTATAAGATTGCAAGCACTTGCAGCTCTGTTCTTGATCATAGATCTACCTTGCATCGCCAACTCTTGCCTCTCTATCCTGATCAAACCCAAGCCACTCGAAAGTCTCCTTCATCTCTCAGTAATCGATCTTGAATGGAAGTAGATTGTAAGAAGAAGCCAAGCTCTGTTCTTGGTATCCTTTCTGTATCCTGATTCCTGAACCAAGTGGAGTGGAAGGCATCGAAGAAGTCAAATCAGCACTCAATTTCCCTTAAAAAACCTGACCCCAAATGACGGCCTTCCTCTCGATCTCTCTTCCTCTTTCTCTTGGAACAACATCAGAAAACCCTCTCCAATTCCACCCTTAAGCATTAGCTTTCCAATCTCCCAACCTGAGGAAAAAAATTGGTGCACTCTCTTTTCTCTCCTTGCTGCTCTCTGACTTTCATACTTGTCTTTCAGTCCCTCTTATCTCTGATTCGTTCTACCTGCAACAGTTAAACAAGCATTTTGTTCTTCTACTGTATTTTTGTCAGAGGAGCTCCTCGCAAATGTCCAATTTAATGTATTTTTAAAGCATTTCAAATCTAGCTTTCAATACCACACCGGCAATAGCTTTCCCATAGATGATCTTATATTATCAATCATTTTTTTGTTTGAGATGCTCATATCCTTTGTCAAGTTCCTATAGATTCTCATATCCCATAATGCTCATATGGCAGTTTGGTTTGGCAAATTCCTTCAGCTTTAGGCTTCGGTTGCGACAGCTTTTTTATTGCTTCTTAAAGCAGCTTTCGAGCACAAAAATTTTTAATTTTGAACTAGAAGGTTGTTTTAAGAAACAATAAAAAAGTCGTCCTAAACGAAAATGTAAAACTGCTTATTTTCATGGATTTGTAACTGTCGATTAATATTTTGTTTTCCTGTTAATATGTTATTAGCAGAAAGAAGCTGCTGCCTTCATGGAGAACGTCCGAGCGGCAATTCTCAAGTATATTACAATCTAGTTCATGAATAATAAATAAAGTTGATATTTAATTTTTTATGTAAAGTAGTACTTTTATATCAAATGCTTGCCACTTCTCCATTTTGGCATGTTATTTTAACTCTTAACTACTTCCATAATTTTATGGATTATGGCTTTGTTCCAAAGCCATGTTAGGTACTGAGATGCTGCTACTAACTAATAATCTGGTCCGAAATACTTGAGATAAAATTACTATGATGATTCAATAACAACATTAAGGTTTCGTTTGAGACGGCTTTTTTACTGCCTTCTTAAAGGAACTTTTTAGTACAAAAGTTAAAATTATTGTACTCGAAAGCTGCTGTAAGAAGTAGTAAAAAAGTCGTCCCAAATGAAATCTAAGTCTTTTTCTCACTACGTGGGGTTGTTAATATATTAAAAGATTCATATTATGATTATTTGATAAATTTTACGCTGACTGTTGATTATCTAATGCAGCTCTTTGCTTTTCTTATCTATTGCTAGGGACCTAACAATGACATAGTTATAAAATTACTAGTGTTTTGAAAACCGGACCGGACCGGCCGGTTCAACCAGTTGAATTGGGAACCGGCCGGCTGATCGTTCCGGTAGAACCTGTTAACCGCTTCAGCACTGAACCGGTTAAAAATCGGACGAACCGCCGGTTGAACCATAAAACCGGAGAACCGGGCAGTTTTGAATGAATTGTACGGTTCAAAATAATGCTTTTGTTCGCCGTTGATTTCACAATCCATTGTTAAATTAGTATGAATTTATATTTGAAATATTTATTTTTAAATTAGTATGAATTTTTATTATATTTATTTCTCTAAAATCATCATGAAACATATTTACATGACCCCATAACTCCATGTGAGCTTTTAACCTAAGAAAACTCAAAAAATTATATAAACAATAGCAAGAAAGAATTTTCAAGTGATGTGAGATTAAAAAGATGAGTTGAGGTTTATGAGCTCATAATATGTATAATGTTTATAAAATATATTTTTAAACAAATTTTTTAATTAGTTATTTAGAATGTGAATAATATTTATTTATTAATTATTAATAATAATTTATTTATACACAATAAAAATAATTATAAATATTTATTAATGATAAATTATTTTTACATAAATAATTTTTAGATATTAATTTAAAAATAATAAAAATAATAAAATATGAACACTAACCAATATTTTCTCAAAATTGTGACACTATTTGATATAAATAAAGGCTATCCATTGAGCTTGTGATCTATTAAGTAACTATGTTTAATTTAATGTTAAACACTACTTCTATTTTGACGTGATTTGTTGAATAATATTATTAAGTGTTATTATTTTTTGTAGTGTTATAATTAATTGTTATATTAATTATTGGAGCAGTATAATTATGCATTATATTAGTGATTGATTCTATTTTATATTATAATGTGTCATTTTGATGGAAAATTTAGAATATACCATATTATCAATTAAATGCCTACAATATTCCAAAATGATTGTTGATATATATAATAACATTACTTGAGGTTAATAAATAGGGATTTTTACACACATAACACTTAAAAGTTTCTTAGTTACTCATCAAACACCTAAACTTACTTATTTACACACCTACCACCTTATTTTACTTTCTAAAATACAATATTCCAAAATGATTGTTGTACAAAATTTACCTCATAATTTCATGCTCATTCACATATGAGAGACTCAAAATATAAATATATAGTACAAGATACGATAAACAAATTCACTTAGATATGTGCTTGTCTTCTTAGGCTTTATTTGATCAGATGTCTTTCTTATTGCTTTTGAAAGCAATTTTTTAGTATAAAAATTCTTTGAACTAAAAAGTTATTTTTGAAAATAATAAGAAAGTCATCCAAAATAAAGCTTTAATACAATAGTAATTTATGTTTCATAAATAATGATTGATGCACCTTTCGGACTTAACAAATGTTAAATTTAATGGATATTTATCTTCCATTTGATAGGTATTTTTAAATGAAAGACATTTATTTGCTTATAAATTATTATCAAATACTCAAAAAATAGTCATTGTTATTAAGCTAGTGCAATTTTTTGGTAATGGTTCACTCTTCTAAAAAATTAACACAGGAGTGGAACTAATACTGCATATTAGTGTTTTGAGCATTTCATAATGATTTTAGATGCCAACAACTTAGGTCATGGCTAGCAAAGTTTTACACATCCAAAGAATTTGTTGAACATATTATTAACAACTCTTGATTTTAAAATTTTAATAAGCCTACCAATTGCATTAGCCATCATAGATGAAACATAAATCATTACTGAATTATGAAGACATGCATGCATATGTGTAAAGTTTATAAGTTAGAGCCCTAGAGAACTACAAGTCCTTTGTAAGTTGATAGCTATTTGGAGGTGGAATTCTCTACATAGGAATTATTAATTGGTGCATTTATATAAATAACACACAAATTAATGAATTATAATGAACAAATTTCATAAAGGATAATGAATAAATATGTTTGATGGTTCAAATAAGGGTTTGAAAAAAATTAGGGTAAAGTTTGTGCATAGTTTAAACCTTGTTAGAATTTTGTTTGAATGTTATTTAAATTTACATTTGAATCTAATTTTTATGTTTGAACTTATATTTGAGCCTTGTTCTTATGTTTGAACCTATATTCAAACCTCAATTTCAAATAAAATGGTTGAACCCTAGTTTCAAAAACAATTGAAACAATGTTCGACCACTTTGTATAAGATGCGGGCATGGTTTGAGCCTATTTTTGAACTCATTCAAACATAGTTCAAACCTATGTTCGAACTTCATTGGAATATAGTAACCTTGTTTGAACTTAAGTTTGAACATAGATCCTCTCTTGGACGCTATATTCAAACCTTATTTTTTTAATTTAATAGTCTAATCATATGTTCGAACAAAGTTAAGAAAATGCTCGTACTATAGTTTGATTTTTTATTTTGAACTTTAAGAGAATTTTCTCCCAATAAAAATATATGGGAATGAACATTAAGATATATTTCTCTAAATAAAAATATTTGGGACCTATTTATCCAAATACCACCTATTATTGGAGAATGTAAAGTCAAATTTTCTCATTTTCTACATTAGGTTGGAACTAATAAAAAAAATGAAATAGTTTTGTAACCTAGGGACTAAAAGCACAGGAGAGATGTTTTTAGTCATCTTCACTCCAAGTTATATAATGAGATAAACAATCAAATTTTAATCCCTATTCAAGGGTTATCTCAACGCTTCTTTAATTTTCTTTGTCAATATAGTTTTACTATTTATTGTAATGGTCCTATCAAAGAACCATTTCTTCATTCTGCCTCAAAAACTCCAAAAAATAGGCACCAAAAAAGAACTTGCATACTTGATAAAATTATTAAAGCTTTTTTAAATATAGGCTGCTAACAAGTTTATATCAATTTATTGGGAAGAAATAATAAGATCATAATCAAAGCAAACTTCATTCTTTAGATAGGGAGTTATGTCTAGGTTCTTAACATATAATTTGTTATTATGCTTATAAAACTCAACTCTTATATAGCTTAGAGTCAAATGATATTCTTCATGACATCTATCACTATTGAACTTCATAGTAATGTCCATTGCAATATATTGAGTTCAAGATTTATGACGTGCTTCTAAAAAAATAGTGAAAAAAGTAATGATGATACTATTATGTCTATGAGAGACAAACATTAAATGTTTAATTTTTCCAATTGGCTCCTTGAGTATAATCATCAAATACATCAACAAGTCATTAATTTTAGAGAACCACTAAAAATGCTATATGATGAATATAAATACTAAAACCTTGCATTAATGTTATGAGCAAAGTATATTTACAATGTGTATTCAAAAAAATTTCATCTACACTTAACAATGGGCGATATGCGCCTTTAAAGTCTTGAATACAAACTTAAAGAGAAGCATACTTGAAATGTCATTCATTGCCAAGATGAATATCAACAACTATTTATACAAATTTTCTATTTAATGATGGCAACTTTTGAAAGAATACCACAGAATAACCTCTTATATAGGTAATAACTTACTCACAACACCTCTAAGCCTTCTCATACTATAAATCAATATAGTAGTCTACATTCAAATTTGATATGATCATCTTTAGCTTCAATTTAGCATCAAATCCAACTAACTTTCGTGGATTACATGTCCAATGAGCTATGTTTGAGTTATGTTTGAGCTTCATTATATGTCCAATCATCACCCTTAAGAAATATTTGGAAGGATCAGAGAATCCATCATATGGATTAATAATGTGTAGTTTAAATCCAATTGGAATAGGATTTCATTTGTTAAGGGTGATGATTATTGGAAGCTACATCGAGGATTAAATTGATTCAATTCCCTCATAGGGAATTCCTCTTGAATAAGATGTTGCAACATATCTCTTATAACCTCACAAGGGGTGTCTATAAAATGATGTTGATCTATGTCCTCCATGATTGGTGAAGGATTACAGGTTGGCTGACTAATGTGGGGATGTTGTGTTGGACCAGTTATATTCGAGAGAACTTAATGAGCTTGTGGGGAAAGAGGTGCTCCTTGATCGACGTTATCTTTAAACTGTTGTTCATTTTGTGGAGGAAAAACTCCATATTGTGATGGTGCCCTTTATAGTCTAGTCTCCACAAAAATTTAAAGGATTTAAATTTGATGTTGCTCCATCCTGTGCATATGGTCCTCTAAAGTGAGGCCTAGGAAAACTTCATCACCTATATTCTTTTATTCATGATTGAGAGAATGATTATTAGCTATTAAAGAAGTATTTTGGGAATGTTCTCACAGACGTTATCAAATTATTACATATTAAAAAATTTATATTGATATAGTATATATTTTACGTCTCAGTATTGTCCAAAAATTCAATATGAACATATAAAAATAGTAAGATCATAGATTTTTAACATAGAAAATTGGAAAAAGGAAAAAAATCATAGGGCTTGACTTAGTTGAAACATCCAATATATATTAAATGATACAAGAATCATCATTTCTTCACTATTAAAAAAGAGGGGGATTAAATAGATGTTTGATTTTCCCTGAGGATGATTATAGAAATCAAGTGTCCACAAAATGAATATACACCCAACAATATGACTTTAATCCAGTATTCTAGAGATAGTGGCAATTTCTGATGCTGATTATTATTGGTTGTGGCGATAATATTTGGTGGTGGTCGTCGGTGACAATGTCTGAAAAATGCAAGAGAGCTATATATAATTCTCTATCTTCAACCTCCATTCTCATGTAAAAAAACGAGGCCATATTTATAGTTGTTTTGGGATGTGTATTTTGGTAATTTGAACCATAATCCAAAACACACCATTGCATGCCCATATTGATTTCTTTGATCATAAGTTGCTTATTCAACATTTAAATGTTTTAATGAAGTTAAAATTGAGTGATCTTGAGCTCATTGGATTTGTCTCGTCGAGCCGCTTGATTCAACTATAACCATAAATAATTTGGAGGTCATTTAGTTAGGGGTGTCAAAATGTGTTTTTGGGTCGGGTTTGAGTCTAACCCGAAATTGACTTGCCCTCGATTGCTCCAACCTTAACCCACCCTAATTATATAAATGGGTCAGAAATCTGAACCCATACCTGACCTGACCAAAATATGGGTCAACTAGACCACACGCTAACTTGGGCGAGCGTAGAGTGCGGGTCGAGCACAGCTAGGCAGTAGCCGGAAGGTGGCGGGTGCGATCACACCTCATGCGGGCTGGAGTAGGATGTAGTCATGTGACCTGGACAACTGGAGTCTGGATGTAGTCACATTGGTAGGAGCGAGACGTGGGTGGCAGTGGGATGCGGGTAGGAGCGAGGAGCAGGGTGGGAGCTGAAGCAGGCTAGAGTGGAAGCAGTGTGGATCGTGTGCAATTACACAAGCTAGAGTTTGGATGCGGACGTGGTGAGTCACACAGATGGGAGCTTAGCGGTCACAAAGGGTCATTAGTCATGTTGGCAGGAGCGACACGTGGGTGGCAGTGGAATGCGGGTAGGAGCGAGAAGCAGGGTGGGAGCTGAAGCATGCTAAAGTGGATGCGGTGTGGATCGTGTGCGATCACAAAAGCTGAAGTTTGGACGCGGGCGTGGTGAGTCGCACAGATGGGAGCTGAGCGATCACAAGGGTCATTTTTGGGTTGGCGGGTTGATCCCTACCTGACCAGATTTTTCAAATTGATCAGAATTAGAACTCGAATCAGACCCATTCATTAAACGGGTCGAACAAAAATGAATTTTCTTGACCTGCATTTGATCATCTAATTAATGCTCTGAAGCTTCTAAATATGTTTTAAGCCATTGATTTAATCTCATTTAAGCTAGGATTGAAGCCATTTTAGTGTCATTGAGTTCATCTTGTCGAGACATATAGTTTAACTATAAATTTGCTAAAATTGAAATTTGGGTTGTCCTAAATTTAATTTTGAAAGTTTTTAATTAAATTATATCTTAATATTCGTGCCTGATCATGATAATTTTTTAGTGATGTATGAGTCTTAAAACACAAATAAGGTACATATTTCTTCTATTAGAGCCATGCGAGGATCAAATTTGTTAATTAAATAGCTACACTTTCATCTATCGTATATTCGTATAACTGTATAAGTACATATGCAGATATAATAATTTAATTTATCGAAAACGTTACCTTTTGACCGACCAGTGGGCTCACCCTCACGCATTGTAGAACATTCTTCTCTTTCCGGGCTTCAGGCTTCTCGGCCTCACTCTAACCTGCACAAGGAATTCCTGCACAAGACCCACCAAATTAAGTTGCCCCGATGCGGCAACTCCAATCTGTCCGACTCCCCCTGCCCTTCTACTCTCCTCGCCCACGTCCCTCTCGTCACTGTCTCCTCCGTCCCGCCACCTCCGCCATGCATTCCCGCGCCTCTTCCACTCCCCATCAAGTCGACGAGGAGAAAGCCAAGCTGGATGACCTAAAACAGCGACAAGCTATTAGCTACCACAACCAGACCAAGCACTCCCTGACCTCGGGCTACGCCCGCGGCCCTCGAGGTCTCGACTGGGCCAATCAGCCCAACCCCTTCCTCCGCTTTCTCTCATCCCCACTTCTACCCCTTCTTCACCTCCCCCCTCAGCCTGGCGACTCTCCTTTGTACTCTTCCCTCTTCTCATCCTCTCCCCCAGCTCCACCGCAGCCCCTCTCCCATTCCACCCTCTCCCGCCTCCTCTATGACTCCCTCTCCCTTTCCGCCTGGAAGACAACTGGCTTCTCCACGTGGTCCCTCCGCGTTAACCCCAGCAGCGGCAACCTCCACCCCACCGAGGCACACGTCCTCTCTCCTCCTCTGCCCTCTCTGTCAGCCAACCTTCCCTTCCTCGCTCACTACTCACCCAAAGACCATTCCCTTGAGCTCCGTGCCCACGTCCCTCCGGACCTCTTCCACCTTCCCGCCGGAGAATCATCCTTCCTCGTAGCGCTCTCTTCCATCTTCTGGCGCGAGGCTTGGAAGTACGGCGAGCGCGCCTTCCGCTACTGCAATCACGACGTTGGTCACGCGATCGCCGCGGTGGCGATCGCCGCCGCTGCACTGGGATGGGACGTACGCCTTCTCGACGGCCTAGGCCACGAGGATCTCCATTGTTTTCTTGGTCTGGATTCTGCAAATCCTTCTTTGCCTCCCCAGCTGCCCGAACGTCCCGTTCGAGGTCGCTTCCCTTGGATCGAATCCCAGCACCCGGACTGCCTCCTCCTCCTCTTCCCCTTTGGCAAGCCGCCCACCGTGGACTATCAATCACTCAGCGCCGCCTTTTCCGGCTTTTCCTCCCTCAATTGGATGGGAAACCCTAATTCACTTAGTAAGGACCATGTATTCTGGGACATCATTTACCGCACCGCTGAGGCCGTAAAGAAGCCGCTTACGGTTGGTGAGGGCTTTTTCGTCAACCCATTACACGCCAGCGGTCTGATATCAGAGAATTTGTATGAGAAAATTTCTGTGCGGGAAGTTGTCAGGAAGCGTAGGAGTGCTGTAGACATGGATGGAGTTCATGCTATGGAACGTAATACTTTCTACCAGATTCTTCTGCATTGTCTTCCATCGGGGCAGTTGGGGCCTGGAGAAAAGCAGGGCAAGCAGTTTGCTCTGCCCTTTAGGTCTATGACTTGGGATGCGGAGGTTCATGCCGTATTATTTGTTCATAGGGTCAAGGATCTGGCTCAAGGATTATATTTCTTGGTGAGAAATGAAGATCATTTTGATAGACTGAAGATGGCAATGACATCGGAGTTTGAATGGGCAAGACCGGAGGGCTGCCCACATGGCTTGCCTTTGTATAGGCTTGCGACGGGTAATTGTGTGGAACTTGCCAAACAACTATCTTGTCATCAGGTATTATGTTTCTCTTATTTATGCATGATATCCTGCACATTTAGGGGCTGTTTGGTAGCACCCAAGTTTTGATTTAAGTAGGATTTCGTAAATCCTCTAAATCCGGATTTTAAAAATCCTGAAAACTATTTGGTAATATTCATAATAAATCTTGTTAAATCTCATGTGACTGTTTGGCTATAGAGTAAAATTTAACGAGCAGACTCTTCCTCTAGCATCATGGATTTCATAAATCTCGCAAAATACAGGATTTCGGAAATTCGGGATTTAGAGCAAATCGGTAGAATTTTCCGTCTACAGCGGATTTTATTTGCCGTGAGATTTGGTTTTGCATTTTACGCCGTTTGGCTGAATTTCCCTCAAATCCGCCTCAAATGTGGCCTAAATCCTGCTACCAAACTGCCCCTTATATTAACTTTGGTGCATAATATAATTGTTTTTAAGGGTTTACCTTTTGATGAGCATGTTGGCTTTTGAAATCAGTTAAAGCTGATGTGGAAGATCTAAATCATGTTTTATGAAAATGTTTAGCATATATGTGGAAATTGGCTATAGCGTTTTCGTTGGTAATCTATGCAGTGTTGCCGTGTTTGTTTTGCTTTCCAATGTTTGAAAGATATTTGTTTAATGATTAACATTTATTATTCCCATGTGATAAAACTATTTCATTGACATATTTTTGAAATGCAGGATATTGCATCAGATGGGTGCTTTAGCCTTGGCATGGTTGCTCATTTTGAACCGGTTTTACGTGAAAGAAATGCTTGGATGTATCCTCGTCTATTCTGGGAAACAGGAGTTCTTGGTCAGATATTGTATCTTGAAGCTCACGCAGTTGGCTTATCTGCCACTGGAATCGGATGCTATTTTGATGATGATGGTATGCATTTCTTATGCTTTCTTGTCGAATATGGTAATATACATTTTCTACTATGCGTTAATTAGGAACTTATTGGTTGTTGAATATATATTGTACATCTCATCATCGTTGAACACTATCAACCTTGTTTTTAGGGTCCTTTAATCTAGAGAGCATATTAGAAGTTGACATGTTGTGAGGAAAACCTTTAGCTTTGCCATCAAGGATGGTGAAGATCTTACTGACATGAGCTTAAATTCCCAAAAGAACAAGTATGCTTATTGGACACTTATTTCAATATGCTTAATGGTGATTCTTTATTAAATAGAGGAATTATAGATTTAGCTTTTAAATTATTTCTTCAAATCTAACTACAAAGATAAGGTGGTTTACCCTTGATAGCCTCTTAGCAAGCTGCGAGTTAGAACTTGAAAGTTTCTTAGGATCATTATTATGTGATCACTTGATACTTGGACATGATTAAGATCAATTTCATAATGAACGTCACCAAAAATATTTGCTATATAAAATAATTTTTGGAATCATCTTGAGTTGAAAGGAATCTTTTGAGTTGCACTGATCAGCCCGTTTGTAATAGCATATGTTTTTCTAATGGTTGGGTTATAAGTGGATAGTAATAAACATTGACAATATATTCAATTGTAGTGATCTTTGCTCATAGATGGACACTGGAGCTAGAGCCTTTGATTTGTTCATTTCAATGAAGACATGTTCTTTGTCATTGTAAAGCGATAACAACTGGTTCTTTTTATGCTATTGCTATTGGGAAATGCCAAACGAATCTACTTTGGTGTGTACTGAAAGGACATCTTCCTATATTAGCTCAAAAAGTGAATGCATAATCAAGCTTATGGAGGAAAGAATCTAACTTGATTGATGTTCACAAGTGCATCCCTTTAATGGAGTTGATTTTAATTGTGTAAACCAATATCTTCATACATTAACAAAAGAAGTCACCATCAATGCCGTTGAATAAGATAGACCACCCTTTTTAAGCATAAATCTTGCTTTTCTTTTTTAAAGAATAAAGCATTTATCATATTGAGGAAAATATGGCTAGACTTGACTGGCTGCACTGGAAAGAGAGACAAAAATTTCAATGAAATGAAATGCATGTTTCAAGTAGAAAGGTAAGCATCTAGCATATTAAGATGAAGGGAGAAGGAGAGTGTTATGCGGGCTGGTTGGACCGGTCTAACTTGAACCGGTCCTCTTCTATTCCAGGCGGCCCAGAACCGGGCGGAACTAGGAGCAGGAGGAGGGGGCGGAAGCCCTTGTGGGCCCATGCATGGGTTAAACACATGGTTTGGAGGGAAATTTTGAATAGAAGTCTGTTTAGGAAATTTGTAACTCTCCTTGGGAGTTAATTAGGCATTTAGGAGGGAATTAAGAATTATCTTGAATTTGAGTGAAATTTGGAGATCTTGTCTGGTGCTTCGGCCCTAGGGTTTGCTAGAGACTTGTGGAGGGTTGTTCTTCCTCTCGAATTGAAGAACATTGTATCTTTTTGTTATTTTCTTGCATCTACTAGTATAATCTTTGATTTTTCTCCCAATTTCTCACTGTTTCCACACAAGTCCTGCTGCGTTTGTGCTGATTATCCTCTGTGACAGCAGTTTTTCTCTCTGTTTTCGTACTAATTTCGATTAGGTTTGCTTGCGAATTCAAGTATTACCTTAGGGTTACTTGCGAACTCAAGTATTTCCTATCAGAGAGTCTAGGCATTATCCAAGCTTGGTATCCATTTAAACAAATTTCTTGCTAACAACTTGTTAGTAGGATTCTTGTAATTGTTTTTTTTGTCCCTTTATCTTCGATTAGGTACCGTTTTTGTAGGCTCCAATGAAGCCTTGTTTTCTAATCTTTCAACTATTAATATTTTCTTCCTCATTTGAAATGATTTTCATCAAGACACCGCCACTTTTCCAATGAGGATTTACTCATAATAGTAGTCACCACAACATTGTTGCTGAAGTTGCTATGATCGCCTACTAATCGCCATGACCTCACTAGCTAAGATCGAGCTACAATAACCACTTAGTTTTATGTCCTTTTATGACTATTGAGCCGTGTGGACGAATGTTGCAGCAAATGTTGAGGATCCTTTATGAGCAGTCCCTACATTGAATCTGATTAGTTCTATGTTAGGAAACAAGTGCAGGAATCAAAGAGATGTTGGCTGAAATTTGGAATTTCAATAAGGTTCAAGCAGAATTTGAGATAAATCACGTGGCAAAATACTAGGGAAACTTGATAATTAATGAAAAGTGGAAGAAAATAAATAAGATATAATGGATCTTCAATTCGAGAAGAAGATCTAGCTCTCCCGATCCCTAGCTGGTGGCTAGAGCCCAAACAAACCTAAGAGAAAACTCAAAATTAGTAAAACATAACATAACCCTAACCCTAATCCTTCCCCTCTATTTAGAGAATATAATTATAATGATAATTACTACACAGTCCCTCCCAAACTTAATTCCCCCCTATACTGCTCCCTCTTTTTAAGTTTTGAATTCAAATAATGGGCCCCATAAGGGGGACTGGTGCCTACTTGGTCGTCCTGGAGTAAACAGGAGCCAACCAAGCACTTGGGCCGGTTGGATTGGTCTAACATTTTGTTGAGAGGAAAACGACGTCATGTGGGTGTACATTTTGTAATAACCCATATTTTAACCTACAACAATAAAAAAGTATTTCAGGAGTCATTATAAGCTTAATTTGCAAACCATCTTTGTTATAATATAGATATTATTGTGCTCTAATTATAATAATTTTCTCATAATTTTATGTGTTGTAGATATAAAATTTAAAAACTTCTTATTTAATTACAAGTTCTTAAGAAATTAACACATGTCTATATAAGTAAATTTTTTGAGATTATTAGGTGTCCGTTTTGCAAACTGATTTCACCAGATCATTCTAAACATGCTTAGTTAATTTATTAATATTTTTTTAAAATTTTTAGATCCCTGAATTTGAAGATATAAAATAATTTATAAGAATTTAACGTTAAAAACTAAACAATTGATATTATTATCAATGTGTTACAAAGATATTTTATTTTAAAAAAAAATTATGCACTTAATAAAACTTTACATATGCCATTTCCATCCTCATTTTGTTAACATAGAAGGATAAAAAGAAAAAAATTGAATAAAAATAGAGAGTAGATGAGAGAGCAGATAGGGTTTGAAGGTCTTAAGTTGTTTTTACCTATCGGTCCAATTAGAAAAATTGCTTGTCTCAAGATAGGCTGCCATTAACATATATTTAATTTCAATGATTTTGTGTATTTTGTATTTTATGAATTTTATTTGATCATAATTTATATAAGTTGCAATTTCTTGATTTTTAGCTAACTTTCACCATGTAACTGTTAGTATGTTATAGTTTTAATCATTCTGTATATATTGACATGATCATATTAAATTTTCATCATGTATTTTTGTATTTTTTTTGGTGAAATATCTTAATTTGGTTAATTTGGATAAATTTATAAATATGAGTAATAACTATTAAAATCTTTTCATATGAGTATATGACATTAATACTTGTTATAATCCAGCTATTGTGGATACATATATGTGAAAAAGAGCTCTGTATTTTTCTATGAATTCTACTAATTTTAGTTCATATGTAAATTTTATATGTATTAATATGATATAATGAACTGAACATTGAGTGTTGTATATGTTGTGAAATATGTATATGGAAGAAAGGCTAGTAAAAAAATGGTTGATTGATTCAGATTAATTGGAGACATGTTACCCTATACAGAAGGGTGGGCCGATGAAATTTCGTTTAAAATAAGGTTTGTGGTGTAATACTAAATGATATGAAAATGGAGGCATAAGGAGATAAATTGATATGATATGATATGATACACTGAAGAGTAGGAAGTAACAATTTTTGATATGAAAGCACCAGATATAAATGACTTTTGATATGACTGATTTGTAGAAACATGATTAAACTGATTCTTATTAGGTTGTCCTACAAGATTGGATACAAGAAAAACACTACAGATAGCTGGAAGCCTTATTTTACATACAGTGCTTGCATATGCATATGATTTGAATATATATATATATATATATATATATATATATATATATATATATATATATTGCATAATTGATTAGACATGATTTAGATAATATGCATGCATTTATTCTTATATTGACTGAATGATCATATGCATATTTTTTCTAGTGTATTGCATGAATTTCAATTGTAGGTTCTGGTAATATACTGAGATGTTAGCTCACTCTATGATTTTATATATTTTCAAGAAGATGTTAGAATCTAGTGGCGTGAGGACATATTAGTGATACAGGTTTTATTATGTTTATGTATTTTTTTTAGTTTTATTCTTTTGTAGTCAAAAGCTAAAAGATAGACTAGTGAATATATGGATTGAATTCTTGACCATTGTGCATGAATTTTGAGGGATGAATAGAATTTTTTTCTTTTGATGTATATTGTTTTTAGTTTCTTCCGCTGGATTGATTTATGTTGATTAGTTTATGAAGTTTTGGTTGATTAATTTCGAAATTAAAATATATAATTCTTCTAAAATTTAATATTTGAGTTTACTATTGGTATCCGAGCGAAGGTTATTATAAGAATTAAATTGTAATAAGGGATATATGAAATAATGAAGATGAATAGAAATGGATAGTGTTAGAATTTATTTTCATTGCATTCATTTCATGCATATATATAATTAAATTATAATTTGATATGAAAGAGAATTACATTGAGTGTAATAGATCCTCCTAAAATGTCAAATGAACAGAATGCAGTAGCTCCAATGAGTTCTGATAGCATGATGTTGTTTTGTCAGTCTGATAACACATCTATTGAGTAATGCACGGAGCAGGTAGGTTGGGAGTAAGGAGATTGAAGATGATAAATATTTGCAGTTGTTTCACAGATTAAAGCCCTTATTGTTCAAGGGAGCTGTAAAGCCTCATGCAGAATATGATTGGCTACTGAGG